GACATGAGCCTCGTTGGGGGTCCGGACCGGAACTTAGGGGGTGCGACCCATTCACACAAGTATTATGTTTCCGGTTAATACAATTCTAGCATGAATAATAAACATTTATCATGATATAAGGAAATAAATAATAACTTTATTATTGCCTCTAGGGCATATTTCCTTCAATTAGTACTACCTTTAAGAAGAAATATAACGATTTAAAAAAACATGCACACAATTTTGCTCTAAAATTGCATTTCTTTTTTTATATGCAGACAATAATCATATAATAGTGTAATTTTCGCAAATATTGCATAATATTTGTGTGTATACATTTACACTCATCCAATGTTTATGTTTGTATTACTCTTCGAGACTTAAGCTACCGTTGAGTCACTTGTGAGCTTATATGGAATCTCTTTTATTTATTTCCGTTGTTTTCGGAGATTTTGTATGAATTTAAGGGCCTCGGTTTAAGGCTAGGCATGCACCTTTTATTATCTACAAAAGCTAGAGTTTTCATGAGGAGACACGTGTGAGCTGATCTCCATCGTTGATGCCTCTTTCGTGCCTAGCTAGCTTGTTTGATACATTGTTCCTGGATCCCGATACATTCTACTAAAATGAGTGTTGCGAAGAAATTGACGTTCCTAGTAATTTTACTAGAAAACACAAACTTGTGATGTAATAGTCCCGCGTGGCTGGTTGGTGTTGTTCATTATTTTATTTTATTTGAGGCATGGTGTTGTTCATTATGTTGCTACTTCTACTTTCTTTTTGCTTTCTAGTTTGAGTATCTCTTGCCTTGTTTTGCTTTGCTTGCTCTTTTTCATTGTACAAACTAGCGGTTTCTTAATCGAATTCGACGAGGGAGCTCCATGTTTCAACAAAAAACTGGGTCAATCGAAAGCTCAGACTAGAGGATTCCATCTCATCGCTAATTATTTTTTATTTTATTTTCCTTTAGTAATATGATTATAAGATTATGGAGAACCCGTCTTTAAGAAACCTCCAAAACATACATAGGACGGCATACAACCTAAGATTGACTACCACCGGTTCCAGTTATGACAAAATATAGAAAGTAGCTCAGACAAAGTATCATGGGACACTTCTAGCAAAGGTCGCAAAACATCTCCCAACCGCAACCAGCATCTCCCTTTGGAGGCTAGATACTACCTTCTTATCGCCGGACTATCATCTGTCTACAATATTGCCCAGGCACCAAAGTGACTAAACGTGTTGTGGAAGGTAAAAAACAAGGGATATTATGGAAATGTTCTTCAAAACACACAATGTAGCCAACTTTTCGAAACATTGTAGCACTGCAAAGTAGTTAAATTAACTGTGTTGAAGAAAGGATCCACTGTGATTATTTCAAAAATGGCCTCTTATCTAATGATCTTATAATTACGACAAAAAAGAAAATAGAGAAAGCGGTCTTTTGCGAATTTAGCACTTATATTAGTTAATAAAATCAAAGGTTACAATATCAAAACTAGGGGTGAACGACGTCATCTTGCACATACCCTAAGAAAACCGTTGTGTGAGCCTGAGTTCTACCAAAATTTGCTAGGAAGTGCCTTAATGAATTTTGATAACCCCAAATCTGAGTAAAAAACTATGGGGCCATGTGTTCATACATTTCAAGTATAAAAATGAGTACCATGAGCAATCTCATTTCTTGCTTTTCACCAAGTCCACAACTTCCATGCGGCCACTCTTAATAAGGATCGACAGGCTAATCAATTGGAGTGCTAGGGCAGGTCCCTCCAACAAAGTTGATAATTCGGGCACCAATGCATATCGTGACATGATAAGAAATGCCAACATCAGGAGAAGATTATGTGCCATGAGTGATCTCAAAGAACCAAGCATGTTCATGAGGTTCCGTCTTCAGCATACAAACCATCCGTGCTCAGCTTAACCTAGCCGACTTGACATGGAGGCCAAATATACATGGAAGAAGAAAATACCACTTTCACCACAAACACCTCGGTTAAATTGATACAAGAGGGAAGTTGGAATAGTGTGCAATTCAAAATAACTCTCGTGGATAAAAATGACAAAAAATGTGTTAAATATGTTCTCATATAGATGTTAAACAATTGAGTAAAAAAACTACAATATGCGTTAAATGATTTGTATGATTGACTGGAATGGTTGAAATGTATGGGAGCTATTTTTCGAAATTAATTTATTTCGGTTCTATTTCATTGAATTGCACAAAGACATAATATGTCTTTTAAATTATTTCACTCAATCTTGTTCTCAGTCAAATAATTGAAAAATGTGATAAAGTATTTTCCAAAATAGAGTGAAACAACATGAATATTTATTTTATAATATGTGTTCAGTTTCATCGTTTCAATTGTCTTAAAATATGTGTTAAACATTTTCTAAAATTGATGAATGCAATAATAGAAATGTCTATATGTTTAAAATAATTAAAATATGTGTGAGATAACTAAAATACAATTGAAATGTATGTGCAATACTTCTTCTGAAATGAGTGAAACAACTAAAATATGTGTTTGATTGTTTCTCAAAATTTGAGTAAAATAATTGAAAAATGTGTGTTCAATTTTTTTCGACATAATTGAAATATTTTTCAAATGTATGTGTAAAAAATAAACATATATCTGAATGTATGTGCAAATTTTTTTGAAACTGAGTGAAGTAATTTAAATATGTGTTATTTTTTGTACTAATGGGTGAAATAATCTGATGTGTTGTTTTTTATGGAGTTAAGAAAATAAGTGAAATATGTGTTTAATATCATTTGAGACAATGTAATGTTTATGAAACTAATTTCAAAGATTATTAATATCATAACATTAAAATTAGTTCAAATGCATCCAAGATTGATCTTCCGTTTGAAAGTCTTCTTGCTGCGAATTCAAATATATATACAAACTTTGAACTAGTTTCATAAATGATTTGTATGATTGAGTGGAATGGTTCAAAATGATGGGCAATGTTTTTCGAAATGAATTTATTTTGGTTATATTTCAATAAATTGCATAAAGATGTAATGAGTATTTTAAATTATTTCACTGAATCTTGTTCTCAATGAAATAACTGAAATATGTGCTAAATATTTTCCAAAATAGAGTGAAACAACCTGAATATTTATTTTATAATATGTGTTCAGTTTTATCGTTTCAATTTTCTTAAATCACTGTTAAATATTTTCTGAAATTGATGAATGAAATACTCCCTCCATTTACTTATACAATGGCACTATGGAATATACATTTTGCTTCTATACAAGGCCTCCAACAGTAATCAAGGCAAAATTAATGATATTTTTGTACTAGCAACCTATTTGGTACTTGCATGCATGTAGTCATAATGACACTCGGCTACTTTCTCCACTCAGTTTTCTTCCATGCATGCGGCGTATTAATGATCCCGGTGAACGAAAAGAAAAGCTAACTTGCAAAGTAGGCATTTTACATTGGTGCCTGTAATTTGAGTTTGTGGGCTTGTATATAAAAATGGATGGAGTAAGAGAAATGTGTGTATTTTAAAAAAAATGAAAATATATGTGAAGGAATTAAAATGTATGTGCAATACAATTTCTGAAATTTAGTGAGATAACTGAAATATTTGTTTAATTTTTTTTCGAAAGTTGAGTGAAATAATTGAAAATGTGTGTTCAGTGTTTTCCAACATGATTTATATATTTCTATAATGTATGTGAAAAAATAAGCATACATCTGTATATATTTGCAATATTTTTGAAATTGAGTGAAGTAATTGAAATATGTGTTAATTTTTTAAATATTGGGTGAAATAATCGGATGTGTTGTTTCTTCTGGAGTTGAGTAAATAATTGAAAAGTGTGTTTAATATCATTTGAGACCATTGTTGAGGAAATTGTTAACTGGTAGCTGCTCGGTTGGCTGACGAGTAGGGGATTAATAGGCTAATCGGCAAGTTAATCGGCCATTTAATCAATTAATTGGATGATTTATCAGTTTATCGGCTACTCGATGACCCTACGAGTATGGATTAATCAGCAAGTTAACTGGTTAATCGGACGAATTCTTGAACAGGGTTGGAGACAATGTAATGTTTATGAAACTGGTTTCAAAGATTATTAAAATAGTGAAATTAAAACTAGTTCAAATACATCCAAGATTGATCTTGCTTCTGAAGATCTTCTCGCTGTGAATTGAAATATATCCATACAAAGTTTGAGGAAGAATATTTAAGCTCAAATGATATCAATCACCCGAAAGATCTCTCTGCATACAACTATCATTTCCCAGATTCCCTCTTCCACACTCTCTCACTTTGACCGGACGAATCTAGCACAGGTAACACTAGTAGATCCGATACTGTTCATGCATTGGCAGGTAGTGTCAGTGGTATTTGAGTATTAAGCGAAGGTCACATCTACCCCTATGTTTCTTTTTACTCATCATACAAGATTTATCTGAAGTCAAACTGAGTAAAGTTTGACTAAATTTTACATCTACAATGTAAAAAGTAATTTCATAACATCTAACGATGGCATTGATACTGCATTGTGAATGTTGATGTTTTTTTTAAGTATTTATAGTTTAACTTCACACAAATCTTATACGTAGTAAAAAGGAAACGGAGGGAAAAGGTAGCACTGATCACAGCTGAAGGTACACGCGTCGGTGAGCCTGAGAAACGTGGAAGAAAGTGTAAACACGCCGGGATCCAAAGCTGCTCGACGGTTCCAAGATGGCCAAGTCTCCGGCATCTCGCCGCAGGTTAATTAGTAATTAACCTTAATTAATACTCTACGTGGCCGCGTATAGGCGCGCGGGATCCGATCCAAAGCTGCTCGAAGGATCTACAGGAGAATTTTTTGGGGTTCGTACCGTAGTGCAGTGCCATTAATGAAGTCAACTCGACGAGCAATACGAGTGACCTCGATGGATGCCCTAATGAAATTATATTTGCACCGTACCTGCCGACACTTGCTGCTCGCACACACTGACACTGACTGGAGCAGCACCAGCACGGCAGCACCGCCGATGAAGCCCTTCTCGCGGAGCCTGCAGCGAGATCTGGACGCCGCGGCCGCCGCCGACGACGACGATGGCAAGCACCACTCCGCCGACGACAAGCAGAACCCCGAGAGGGGCGCACGGCGGCCGTCCCGGCTCTTCTACCTCGCGCTCCTCTACGTCGTCTTCTGGGCGCTGGTATTCTACCACCACTTCTCCACCAGCGTGCAACAGTCAGTCAGCGCGGCGGTGGCAGCGCCCGCCGTGCTCCAGCTCAAGCCGGCGGCCTTCTTCTCGGTGCCCCGCATCTTCCGCCGCGACCCGTGCGCCGGCCGGTACGTGTACATGTACGACCTGCCGCCGCGGTTCAACGCCGACCTCGTCCGCGAGTGCCGCCGGATCTCGGGCTCCACCGACGTGTGCAAGGACGTGGCCAACGACGGGTTCGGCCCGAACATCACGGGCGGCGGCGAGGGCGGGTCGCTGCCGGAGAGCGGGGCCTACGACACCGACCAGTACATGCTCGGCCTCATCTTCCACGCCCGGATGCGGCGGCACGAGTGCCTCACTGCCGACCCCGCGGCGGCCGCCGTGGTGTACGTCCCGTTCTACGCCGGGCTCGACTCGGCGATGCACCTGGGGAGCAAGGACCTCGCGGCGCGGGACGCCCTGTCGCGGGACGTGGTGGACTGGCTGGCGCAGCGGCCAGAGTGGCGCGCCATGGGCGGGCGCGACCACTTCCTGGTGTCCGGGCGGGGCACGTGGGACTTCATCGTCAGCCCCGACGCCGTCGGCTGGGGCAACGCGCTCATGACCTTCCCGGCGATCCTCAACGCCACGTTCCTCACCACCGAAGCCAGCCCATGGCACGGCAACGACTTCGCCGTGCCGTTCCCGTCGCACTTCCACCCGTCGTCCGACGCCGAGGTGGTCGGCTGGCAGGACCGCGTGCACCAGATGGACCGCCCGTTTCTCTGGGGCTTCGCCGGCGGGGCCCGCGGCGGCAGCCAGCGCACGGTGCGCGCCCAGATCATGGAGCAGTGCGGCAGGTCGAGCCGGTGCGCACTGCTCGGCGTGCCGGCGCCGGGGCACTACGCGCCGGGCCGCGCCATGCGGCTGCTGGAGAGCGCCGAGTTCTGCGTGCAGCCGCGCGGCGACGGGTACACGCGCAAGTCCACCTTCGACACCATCCTCGCCGGCTGCATCCCGGTCTTCTTCCACCCCATCTCCGCCTACCTCCAGTACATCTGGCACCTGCCCAGGGACCACCGGAGCTACTCGGTGTTCATCCCGCACGGCGACGTGGTCGAGCGGAACGCCAGCATCGAGGAGGTGCTGAGCAGGATACCGCCGGCGAAGGTGGCGCAGATGCGGGAGCGGGTCATCCGGCTCATCCCCACCGTGCTGTACCGGCACCCGGCGGCCAAGGGCGTGACGTTCAAGGACGCGTTCGACGTCGCCCTCGAGCGCGTCATCGACCGGGTGGCGAAGCGCCGGCGCGCCGCCGCCGAGGGACGGGAGTACGTGGACAGCGTCGACGGAAAATATAGCTGGAAGTACGACCTGGCACAAGATAGGGAGAAAATGTTGGCCCCGCACGAGTTCGATCCATATATCAACACGTAAATGCAGATTTGCTTATGTTTGTCCCGCGAAATCAGTCAGCTTCGAATCACCTTTTGATTTGGACTTTGGAGAGTGGGTATTATTTACTCACTTAATAAAGTGCTCATAAGAAACCGTATGCACGGTCTATTTTCCTCCGTTAAAATGTTTATTTATGCGGATTTGCTATTTCTCAGGCGCCTCAAAAATTCCACGTATTAGTCGATTTCGCACAGCACAAGGCCGATGACGGGGACGAGGTGAGGAGCGACCGCGAGCTGCGGCATCTCAGGTGGAAGCGAGGAAGAAACATAATATCAAAGGGTTGTGCATCGGGTAGGGGCAGTGAGGTAG